TCTATTCAGAGGCTACGCCAGGCTGTATGCTTTTATGTCAAAAAAAGCATAATTATGAATTGCCAAATGATTTAAATGCGTATGAAATGTGTGATGTCATATCCTGGCTTTTGTGATTAGCATCACTGTAGTATTAATGGGAAGAATGGGTTTCCAGTTTCATCCTCTCTGTTTGGGCTCTGCCTGGCTGTCTGACCGGGAGGGGGGTGGGGGGGGGGTTTCCAGTGGAGTTTGCCTGGTTAAGACGCCGGTTAATGTGTATGACGACTATGAACTCTCTTTGCTTATGTAGGATGCGGTTTGATTGCTCCCGGTTAATGTGTCCTCCTTGTTTCCTTTCCGTTGTGGAGTGAGATCTGCTTGCTGTCAGGTTCCTCCCCGTCCTCACGGATTTAAATATGCAGTTTGGCAACATTGTGATGTTGTGCCTAGAGAGATTAAAGTCTTGTTTGTTTGTGATTTTTTTGTTGTAGTCTGTAAATCTCAGGCAATGAGACATCATTTGACTGGAAACAGAGGCAGCCTCCCCAGTAGACAGTCTCACATTTATACACACAGTGGCTGTTTGGGCTGTTTTCCAGGGATCCCTGACTTACAACGCTGTTTGACAAACTTCTGCAGGCGTATTTTCTAGAACTGATGTAAATGTTGAAGCTTCTTGGTTAAACTGGGTATAACTGACCCTGGCTAATAAAGACTTAGTTTGTGGCTCCTGTACCTCACCAGTGGGGTTCATCTTCCATCATTCTTTCATTCATTCGTTTGCTCGTTCAATGCATCAGCCTTTAAAATAAACCAGTATAACGGCAGAATAAAATGCAGCGTTATTCCTTGCAAAGCTTTCCGGCCTGTGTGTGTGAGCAGTGAAATGATTCGATGTGGTTTCGTTGTGGGTTTTGTTGAAGTGCTTCAGACACTGAGCACATTTTGTCTACGGTAGACAGACGGTACCGCATTTTAATGATTAACCTGCAGAGCTGTTTCGTATTTCTTTGTTTATGTGCTCATAATAGAGCTGCATGTTTAAGATTGGCAGGTTGGTGTGGAGCAGGTTCGTGACCCCAAGTCTCCACAGGTGTGGTTGGCGCCCCCACCGCTGGGGCGCTCCCAGTGGATGTGATTGGGCCGCGTTGTCAGCGTGAGGCTGATGGGTCCTGCTGGTCCCCAGTGTGTGTGAGAGTCTGAGAAGGGTGTGCCGTCACTGAGGGCTGTTGTGTGACCCCCACCCCCGCCCTCCCCCAGGAATGTGGAGGACGCCGTGCGATTCCCGGGCGTGCCTCCCCGCCGGCAGCTTACGTACCAAGCCAAGCAGATGATCGCTAGGGAACTGGAGCTGGAGAAGATGAGGAGGGCTGAAGCTGTCCTGCTGGCACGCAACCCGCTGCCGGTGAGCTCTGGGGGGCAGGGTGGCACATGGGGGGTGTTCACTTTGGGTTATTTCGTAATGACTGCCCTGTTAAAGAGTCACATGACCAGTAGTAAAAATGACTTCACTGTGAACTTTGCTGCTTTCCGTAGGCCGACGAGTTTCCTGATGATTAACACGCTATAAATATCACGATCTGTGACATTCCACGTCCCATAATGCATCTGGTCTCGCACAGGTTTCTTTACGTGCATGTGACACATGAATGTGTCATGATAAACTGCACTAGCTGTAAATTCGGCCCGGGCCATGCCAGGGACAGGGTGCTTGTTGTGTCTGATGGGGTTAGTGCTGTTCATCAACACCCTGTAAGAGCTTTCCGGAAAGCCCTGAACAGTGGCGAGGAACAGGAGAGCAGGAAGAGTATGCCTCCCTCTGGGGGGGTTGCCCACACAGATGCATGGTAAACGTCCCTGTGGCCCCGACACCTTCATTTCTTTTTGGGGTCAGATGTGCCTTGGGCTGGGGGTGTGACTCTTCTTCGCGCCCCGTAAGTCTAACCACTCTCTATGCCTGGGCTCTACCACTCAGAAGAAGGAGGAGGAAGAAGGCAAGGCTAAGACGAAGGCCGACCCCAAGAGCAGAGAGAAGCGCCTGCCCATGGAGAACCACCGGCAGAGGCTGGAGACCATCTTGAAGCAGAACGTGGTGGAGAGCAAGGTAGGAGCGGCCGGGTGGAGGGTTACGCCCTCTGCTGGTTAGGAGCGGCCGGGTGGAGGGTTACGCCCTCTGCTGGCCAGATGAAGCTGTGCGGTAGGTCTTTATACCCCAGAGCCCTCCGGTCCGGATTTGAGCGCTTTGGTCCCCGGCTTTCGATCCGTTTACAGAGACTCACCGCTACTCTTTATGTGCCAAGATCCATATCGGCCTGGAATTTGTTTTGTGAATGTCGGGTAAATTCCAGCACTGCTTGGTAAACGGCGGCAGCATAGTGCTCAGGCTGGTTCAGGGGGCGTGTGTGTGTGTGTGTGTGTGTGTGTTGGTGAGTATGTGTGTGTGTTGGTGAGTATGTGTGTGTGTGTTAGTATGTGTGTGTGTGTGTGTGTGTTAGTGAGTGTGTGTGTGAGCCCATGGTAGGGGGTTCGAATCCCACACCCTCACACCCCCCCCCCCGTGCCTGTGTGCCACGTGCTTCTTGAGAGAGGCTCCAGCCCCCCCCACCTCCCTGTACTAGTTAAGCAGGTAGGGAGGATGGATGGATGGAATATTTGAAAGAATATGGATAATTGTCTGGCTCTTTGTCATTCTCTCCTTCCCTCCCTCTCTTCCAGTCCTCCGCCTCCATCCCTTCCTGCCTTTACTTATCCTCATCTACCTTCCGTCCATTCTGTGGTGTCCTTACCGGAGACGTGTTCTCTGGGAGACGGGGGCGTGATGTTCTGTTCCGGATCAGCATGGTTTAGGCCGAGTGGACAGGGTCTCCCCAGCCCTGGCGAGGCCGATTAGGGCTGCGTGCCCCCTGCAGGTCCAGCAGCGGTGCTAGGTTTATCTAGAACTCTTTGTATGAATTGCTGGTGGTGTGAAATAGTCTGTGTCAGAAGTAGGGCAGCCCCCCCCCCCCCCCCCCCCCACACACACACACACACACACACGGAGTATGACCAGAGAGGGCAGCCTAGAGGGTGGAGCGTGTGTCAGAGAAGCAGAGCAAGAGACAGCGAGTCTGGGGGGGGGGGGAACTGACCATTTTAATGCCCCTCCTGGCCGAGGTCCAGGGGTCTAATCTAACGAAGCATAACCCCCCCCACGGCCCCCGTAGGGACCGCTGAGATAATCGGGGTGTGCGGAGGGCAGCTGGAGATGCTACCTACGGTGGGCCGGGGGGGTTTGGGTTGCAGTAATGCAGTGCTACTGGATTTCTGAACCTAATCCAAGCGCTGCTGGGAAATCGGCTTAATGGGGTTGGGGGGGGCTGCTTTGGGCTGCAGAGGCGGGGCTTACATCTGCCAGGCGCTGTCACCAGCAGACTCATACCTTCTGCCTGTTTGGTATTAATTGTTAATTAATTTATGACCAAAACACACAGATCTCATTAACGGAAACAAAACGCAGTAAAGAGGTGGCCAATCTTCTCTTTTCAGCCCGAGGTCGACTTCTTTGGCCGCGCCATCGTGCCGAGAGTGAAGCCAGAGCTCACTGCAGCCTCAGGTAAGACCAGAACCCGCACACCTCGCAACCTGAGACACCGGCAGCTTTGTACCGACTCGTGCTGTGGCGTGGTGACCTTTGACCCGTGAGGTCATCGCGTCAGGGAGCCCAGAGGCACTCTCCGGAGCGGGATCTGGACGTGTCTGTTAGCGATGGACCGATCGACATTTCTTAAGCCAACACAGATTTTTATTCAACAAAGCTGCTTTTTTCCCCCACGCTCACGTTAATCAGAGTGTAGTGTCGATGCAACAGGAGGAATACAGTGCCGATTGCAGATCGCTCAGTTTTTATGAAAATCAGCTGATACCGATTGACAGCTAATTGATTGATCCATCCATCACTAGCTTCTGTTTTGGAGCGGGGGCACGTTTGGGTGGGCGGATTGCGGGGGGCGGATTGCGGGGGGCGGATTGCGGTGGGCGGATTGCGGATTTCGGTGGGCGGATTGCGGATTGCGGTGGGCGGATTGCGGTGGGCGGATTGCTCCATTCCGGGCCGCGTGGCTCGCGCTCTGGGATTAGCCCTGCTGATCTGGGGGCCGCGGAGCCCCTGCGTGTGTGTGGCAGCTCTGCCTGCCTCCCGCACACCTGGCAGATGGCAGATTGTTTAAGTGCTGATTGCTGTAAGAAGCCAACACACTCGTCATGTATTATTCAGGGGACGCTTTCAGGCGCATGCAGCCTGCGGGCTTCTGCTGTCCGGCCCGTTTATGCAGACGGAAGTGTGAGCACTGGGTAGAATTTGTGGCTTAAGTTGCATATGACCACACGTGTCTTCCTGGGACCAGAAGTTGCCCTTTTGGCATTTTAACCATTTCACTACTGGCACTACTGGCTGGCCACTGTTGGTTTTGCTAATAATTTGAGAAATGAGGCTTTAAAACCTACAGACCCAGGTTAATCCTTTATGGTTGACCTGCTCGGGGGGGAGGGGATACTGGATTGGCTTCTGCAGTGTGGCTGAATCAAGTGTGTGTCCCTCTCGCGGTGCAGCGGAGGGGGAGAAGACAATGACGGCGGAGCAGCTGATGGGGAAGGCCGTGGGGAACAGTGACGTCTGGTTCCGCTTCAACGAGGGCGTGTCCAACGCCGTACGCCGCAACGTCTACATCAAAGACCTGCTGTGAGGCTGACCCATCCCACCCCCCTCCTCTGGCCACCCTGCCCTTCATTTCTCTGACATGATTAACCAGACTGTAAGTGTTCTGAGTTCTCTCCGCTCCCGTTCTGTCCATCAGTCAGACGCTAATGTGCGCATTTCCTCTCGAACCTGCAGGACTGGGGTGTGGCTGTCACTGTCTCGTAATCCGTGCTGCCTATATTAACACTGGATTCTCTGTGGGGGGGGGGGGGTCGTACTTGTTACAATGTTCTGTATTTGTGTTCAGTACGCATGATCTCTCACTCAAACAACAGGCATTATGTTGTCTTAAAAATCCTCCACTTTATTCAATATGACAAACTTTTTTTTTTTGCAAAACATTCAATAAAAAGGGTAATTTATTTATTGCTTTGTCATTGAATCAGTGCTTGACTGCGATGCGAACATTTTCTAAGCCCACTCAGAAATAAGACTGACAAACGTAGTTAAATTTGTAGTTAAATGTATCGTAACTCAAAGTCCACATTCCTGCCGGCTGTCCTGAGCCTCCGGTGGGGGGGGGGGGGCGTGGCCATAACCTGAGGGTGAGGCTCCCATTGTGGGTTCTGCACATCACTAGCCCCAGCTGGCGGCCCGCTAACCACTGTTAACAGGCACACGATCTTCGAGAAAGAGGCAGCGTTTCAGACTGAGGTGTTAAAGGCTGCCTGTCATCCTGTGTAAGGGGCTGGGCTGTAGCGTCCAAAGCAGACAGCACCCATGTTTCATATAATCAATAAATAACATAAAGACACAGGTAGCTAAATGTATATACAAGCTTGCTGGGATGTGTGCGTCTGGGGGATGTGAGCGCGTGCACGCCGGCCTTAAAAGGGCGTCACGGTGGACTGTGGATCGTGGGCTGGACGCTGGCGTTTTGCCCCCAGTGTTTTTGCCTCAACGCTCAAGCAACAGCAATGATGCGACCACTGCAGACCTATGGGCCGCGTTTATGCACATCTAAAAGTATAATAAGTGCCTTTTGCAATCTTTTATAGTGAAGAATATATTTCATGGTTATAACTAAAGGCTTTTTAAATACATTTCATTGATATATGCTTTTGTATTCCATGGTTATAACCCCCCTCCCCCAATTCTATGACCTACATTTCCTGGGGGTAGGGGGGCACTGTGCGTATCAGCCTGCACTTGGTCGAGTCGGGTTCGAGGGGGTAGGGATGCAGCAGCATGCTGAGCTCCGTTAGAGGATGGTGCACTTTCCCTTCTCCACCCAGGGGTTGTTCTTCATCAGCTCGGGGTTCAGGAAAGGATCTTCCGACACCCCATTCTCAATCCATTTCACCAGGCTGCACAGGTATGCGGGGGGGGGGGGTCGAAAGGGAAGTTCCGTCACATCACTGCCACCTACTGCCTGGATGCTTCACTTGTGATCGACCTGGACTCAGTAGATGTAGGTTTATGGGTAAAATGACTCCTGATTTACTGTTGTGTACCGTGGGATGGGAGGTGTTGCACACACGCCTCCTGCTGGCCTGCCTACCCTAAGATCCCCCCCACTTTGCACATGTTTCTGAAGCAGCCCTGGTGATGCTGTTCAGTAGAGCCTCTCACGCTTCCTTTCTGGCAGTTATGAGCCTCCCAGGGTGATCTGTACAGCTCCTGAACCTTTTTGTTGGTCTGGTACTGAACTAGCACGGTGGGATGTGAACTCGGGTGACCACTGAACTTTGCATCTCCTCTATCTGTCTCCTCTAATCTAGATTTCTGCATTGTTCCTCCATGGTTCTCTCTATGGAGCTGCAAACCTAGCCTCTTTGTTGTGATCTGCTGCTGTCACATCTCTCCAAAGTGGGAGGAGTTAAGGTTCTCCTCCAGACGACTGCTCCAGGAACCAGGGGCAGCCGTTGAGGTCAAGCACATCTGGAGATCATTACACAACCTGTTTAAATTGGCCTGAGCTTGGAAGAGGAAAGCAATGTAAAAGGTGAACTGCAGTGCTGATCGTGATGTCATGATGATGTCATGATGATGTAATGATTATGTGTGAGAGGTGGTGATGCTTCTGGTGCTTGAAGACCACTTACTCGGTGGCTGTCTTGGAGGACTTCTCCCTCTTGAAGGCCAGCTGATACTTCAGACTCTCCACCTCCTTCTTCATCTGCGGCAGGTCCATGTCGTCCATGACTGTGGACGAGACGGAGCGACTGTCTGAGGAGGGGCTGGAGCTGTCAGCACCCAGCACCACATGCGGTCATACTGTGGTCAAGCTGTCCTGCCGTTAGCCCCTGTGATGAGGGGAGGGGGTCCCCAGAGCTTTTAGTCGTAATACTCTATGTGAACTCCCCGCGGGGGTGGGTGGGGGGTGCATTTGCTGGGATTTCAGCCGACTGAGCTGCTGATGGGAAAACTCAAGAGCAAAATTGACAGGCTGATAAGTGAAAAGCGCCCTGGCAGCTTCGAGTTAGATGGAATCTAAGTACCTGCCTCCTGAACTTCCCGGCTAAATGCAGCTCTGCCGTAAACCGGGCACAAATCCGAGCCCCCACATCGCAGAACCGTAGTTCGCCTAAAGTTCCCCACGTTAGAAACTTGTTTTTTGCGACTCCGCAAAAACGAGTGGTCGATTTAGTTTATTTCAAGTTCATCTAAGGGGGATTAAAGTCCGGTCTTATCAAGCCAAGAAAATGTTGGAGGGTGACTTTCGAAACATCTGATGGGACACGGTACAACAATAACGCTCTTTAAAATAGCCTACAAGCCATGACAATTTCTGCCATTATTTAATTTCACAGTATTTTTAAATGCGCATTTGCGTATGATACTGTTCATTTTCATAACAATTAAATATCCATTCACTTTAGTCTTTTGTAACTACTTGCCGCCACTGATTTTCCTCTCCTCCAAGGTCATGCTATGTGTCGTAGGCTATTTGGTGAAGTTGTACATTTCAAATGTACTCGCCTATATATTTTCTCCTAGCCTTCATTAATACAGTATAGTCAAGGCGGGCAGGTGGTCAGCGCGGTCACAAGACTAGTCTTTCTTCCAGTATTCCGATGTGGGGAAAAGTTGTGTTCACACCTCAATTAAACCCATGACAGCTCCTGTACAGTGGTGATAACCGCTCCTAAAAATCAAAATACTGAAACCAAATACAAAATGCTTAACTTTGCGGGATGAGGGTGAACGTGAATGTAGGCTACAATATTAATGCCTCATGCTGCAAATAGAATGTCTTTGTATGAGTATTCATATGTATCCCCGCGATAAAACATGAACTAAAAACACTGCCGGCTTGACAGTCCCAGCAATTGTTAGAAAATTCTGCTTGGGAGCAGCAGCGCACGGAAATGCAAAATGCATGAGGGGGGGATCGACAACCAAGCGTATAGAAACCAGCTTAGGAAGTGGGGTCGGGCAGACGAACCGGGGCGCCCCCCCACAAAGAGCCGAAGTTTATGTAATGAGTCTCAATGCAGCCGCAGCGACCGTTTCTTACAAACTCGCAAAGCCACATCATGCATCCTGCGATCCGCTTGACGGTGTTCCCCCTCCCCTTGAATTAAAAATATTAAATCGGTGGAAAAACGCTATAAAACGCAACAGTCAGATTAAGTCCCCCTTCCCTATGGCTTTTTTAAGGGAGATGTTCACGGAACTTACCTCCCTGAAGATCTGGTGCAATACACAATGCTTGCTGCCCCCACCGGTTTCAATGCACTTGCCGTTTCCTTTTACTGTGACTTTCTAAAAATCATACGACGTTCAGATGTGTCGCGCAGCCTTAAAGGTCCTTTAAGTCGCCGTTGAATTGAGGCGGGGATCGAGATTCAGCCCTTGGCCGAGAGTCAGGAAGTTCGGTCCGGTTCGGGCTGCGGAGCGAAGCGCTTGATGGTGTGAGCGGTACAAGACGGCGTGGGGACTGTATGCGCGGCGATGTGGATGGTGTGTGTGTCTGTCTGTGTGTGTGAGTGTGTGTGCAGGCAAGCCGGGAGGGATACTCGTTTTAAACTCGGATCCTTTCTCTTTCGGGAATGATCGCGGCGTCAGAGCGGCATTTTGGGTGGCGGGGGAGGGGAATGGCGCTGTTCCTCTAAAGCCCTGTCCGCTTTTCCATCCGGATTGTTGTAAATGATTTAGTGCGCCGATCGACACTTTCCCAAATCTGGACGCTTAGTGTATGACTTCATAACGGTGCTCTTCTGTGCTCTTTAGAAAAGGACAATCTTTTATCTGACATGCAAGGCTGCGCAGGCAATTGTGCAAAACACGACCTATATGGTATGTGGTTTGTATATATCTATAGATGATATAATCCTGTTATAGACACTTGCTTTGGTGTTTTGGGCCTATTATTATTTTTTTTTTATGATTTCACTTTTATAACTGTCTGACCAGGTTAACCTAAATTGTGTGAAGAGAAAGATAGAGCGTGCATATCCTATAAACCAGATGGGTCATTTAATTAATAACACCTGTTTTAGCGGAAGAAGGATGGAATACCAGTAGAATTCGCCTGGAACATTTAAATGTATCTATTAAAGATATGTAATATAAGGGGCCAGGTAAAGGCCGGTTTCTGACAAAACATCCTACCTATCGAGACGTGCTATCGAGCCTTTCTGCGCATGTGCAGTTCCACCGTTTTGGGATTAGGGTTAGGTTTTAGGGGTTAGGGTTAAGGTAAGGGTTTTAGGGGTTTTGGGGGGGGGGTTAGGGTAAGAGTTAGGGTTAGGACTATCGATTAGCACTACGGTAGGATGGTTTGATAAAGTAGGACGTTTTGTCAGAACACCGGCTTCCCAGTCAAGAACACAAAGTATATGTGTAACTGGGAAGCGACTCCTGTTAAGATTAAGGCATTACACTGCCATTAAATTAAGACTATATTTGATTGGTGTTTTATCTATAGAAAGCGTTCTTGGCGAGCAGTCCCACAATGTGAATTTCAAATCCTGCCTAGAGTCGCTTTCTGTCTCTACGTTTAGCGCTTTAAGGCATTAAAATGGTTAAACGTAGGTGCGCAGCGCCATGAACGTTACCTGCCGTGAGTTGGGGGACGGTTCTGTCCTACAGCAGCGCCGTGGTTTTTTTTCCCACACAATCTGTGAAAATGTATGTTATTTTATATTCTCAGGGGCTGTGTTTGCCTTGCAGTTCGTTGCAAAGCCCTGCGCAGTCAAGGGAGCCGACAGCTTGGCGTTCTATGACAATATACAGGGCAGGTCTGTGACCACTTTGGCATGTAATGGTGCCCATGCGGTCGGGAGGGGGGCGGGGGTCTCAGCCCTGTAAAAAGTAGTCGGAGGGGGGGAGTGTTAATGGATACTCTGAATGATGTCCGTGGCCGGACAGAAAACAGAGGGCAAGGCCACTTAAGAGAGGCTGGGAGGGGGGGGGGGTGTATTTTACTGGTGCCTGTTAGACATCCAGCCTTTGCCAGAGTCAGGGGGCACAAGATATAAGCTAATTTAAATTTAAGTGTGTGTGTGCACGTGCGCGCGCGCACGGGCTAGCGTTGGTGCTCATTACACCCGCTCCCACAGCCCCCCTACGGTCAAAGCCCTCTCTGCCAGAAGGCTCATCCGATGCACCCTGACAGCAGATATCTTACTTCACTTAATCCTGGTCCAGCGCCCAGGACGCCCTTAAGTGCTTCAACACTCTGGTCCAGGAGCAGCTAATGCAGCGTTTCCACTGCCGCCTAAGAGCAGCTCAGATGCCACAATGGCGGCCGGACGTGTTTCAGACCGACCTTAATATTTTCTATATCTGTAGTCTCATGTAGGGTTGTACAGAGTCACAATATATTCTGCCCAGAAACCCAGGCTGGAATAAATGTATTTAAAGATCAAAGCAAGCTTTTGATGCGATGCTTAAATAAACGAGAACTGATTCTGAATTGCACTATCAATCTGCATATGAAAGTGGAAAAGCCTTCCCACCTGTTCCGCATTCAACGTTCCCGCTACGACAAACGCAGCCTAATGGCGCCCTCTTCTGTTTTAATTCAAACCTGCGCCTGCTGCGCAAAGGGATGGGTCCTTTGAATGAGACAGAATATTATACTCGCGCCACCTCCAATATAATGCCCCGAGGTTTTCTGCATTTTCATCTGCGCTCCAGTGTCGTATTAATAATGTTTGAAATTTTAATTTATCACTCGATGATCTTTACATTTTGAAATCTGTCGTTTAGGGAAAACTGCAAAATATGTATTGTCACTTTGTAGTCAACAGCCATACTGCATAAATTAAAAGCAGAAGTATGTTTTCTGTAGTTGTAGTACTTGTATATGACCACAGGGTGTCACCAGATTTAGAGGAACTAATTTTCCCCACAGAAAACGAGCCAGTTTGCTTCCGGTAGCGACGTAGCGGCAGGCCAATGGCATCTAATGAGGACATTTTAATAATAAAACCTTTGTTTGTACAAATGGTGTAAATATGATCAATAAAATAATTGTATTATATTTATCTGCACAGCTAATTTATTAATCTAAAAGCGACTGATCATTTACAGATTATTTTAATGTTTAGTAGGTCTACCTTGTTGAAGGTGGCATTTTTCTTATAAAAGAAATGGGTGTTTTCTGATTACTATCAGTTTTGGCACAGACTTGAAACTGTTCATGCACGGTTATATGAACTGGCTTTGAAAAAATATTACGCACTGAGCTTGCAGTTCAGATTGGACCAGTGTCGTATCTTTAATAATGAAAACGTGCACAGAATTGACAAATTCACATAGCCTACCTAATGACTTATGGTAGTTTGTGTTACTGGGCTCAGTGGCTGCAGTAGAGAATCAGACGTACCTCGATCATCAGCAGGGAGCTGGACTCGTAACTGTGAAATCCCAGGGTGGGGCTCTAATGTTAGACCTTGGAGCGGCTCACTCGTGCTTAATTGGTCCTGTGAAATACCCAGCTGAATCATACCTGTCAAAATGAACTGCAGTCCCCTGGTCCCTAGTGTGACTACAATTCACCACTTGTTACTTTCAACCTGAAAATCTGTCAGGCAACTGGGAGGAAGCTGCTGGAAGCAGGATGAGTACATCCGCGGCGCTGGGGCTTTCGAGTTTCTCTGAGTTTTACATCATTTTACATTAATGAACCCTAGTTCACAAATCAGCCAATAAGCATTTTAAAGTAATTAAAGTTATGATGGAAAACGCAAAAATAAAATTATTTTTAAATAAAAGTAGGAAAACATATGTATTTCGTTAATTACATGACACAAACGGGAGGGTGGGCTTCGCAGACTCACTCAGCTTTGACGTTTTAATGTTGTTTAGACGTCATCTGTTCAATATCAAGAGGCTTCGCAGTCGGATTCATTTCTGAGCCGGTGACCCATGCAGGGAAGTGAATGTACTTTTGTGCTTGGTTTAAATTGGGTACTGTTATCATTCCTGTCTCAGGTGATCTCCCTCTGTGTATGTGCGTGTGTGTACACCATGGTCATGTATATATTACATTTTGGAGACCAAATGTCCACACAATACGATAAAAACTTGTTATTTTGACCGTAGGGAACATTTTTTTTATATAAAAAAGCTGTGAATGTGATAAAGGAACATAGAATTCCAAAAGTCTTGTGTTTCGTTTGGTTATGGTTAAGGTGAGGACTGGGTAGGACTTAAGGTCGTCATGTAAGGATTAGAGTTTTCCCCATAGAAATGAAAGGAGTCCCCACAAAGATATAATTACAATCCTGTGTGTGTGCATGCGTGTGCGCATGCATGTGTGCGTGAGCTGAGGTTGTTGTGGCTAGTTGCCTCATAGAACCATCTCTAGAGCAGCTCCTAGCAGACCATGAAGGTCAGAGGTCACAAGCTCTGCTACTACCCCTGGCTCATCTGTGCTGAGCAAAAAAATATGTCAACATATGGTTTATGGTTTCTCTCCAGTTTGCCTTTGATGGTAAGCCTTCTTTTTGTTTTTTTTTTGTTTTCCAGGAAAAACACATTTCCTTTATCTCATTACCACTTTAAGGCTTTCATCTTCTGGGAAACATTTAAATGTCCCAGATTCCCTACAGAGGGAGAAAGAGATGCCTTTTGAAGATGGAGGGAGGCAGATCTCCAGGCAGCCAGAGCTATGCTCCTATTGGCTGCATGGTCCCTGTGACTGGTCAGTTCCTGTGCCCGGTCCCTTCTCTTCTCCTCAGCTGCTCTGTAGGCGGAGCCCTGGCTGCCTCCAGTGGTATGATGTCATCGATGGTCTCTAGCTGTGCTGTTTGTTGTTGTTTTTTTCCTCTCAGTCTAAGAGCATGTGATCCAGCAGTATGCGTGTGTGTGTTTGTGTGTGTGTGTCCTTTCGTTCCGGAACATCCGCTTTCTGGAGTGTGTACATGTGTTGCACGCCTCAGGGGGCGATGTTTATTCTGGCACTCTTACCGCCACGCATCGTGTGCCATGCCGGCATGGTCCCGAGCCCCATAAGACTCACCTGCTCTGGCAGAATTTATCTGATAAAATTATTACCAAAAAAATCTTGATTATGACAAGTTGATGATAGTAAACGTAGCAGACATTGTCCCCATCCTCACAGTGTCCCTCATCCTGTCCCTATCCTCACAGTGTCCCTCATCCTGTCCCCATCCTCAGTGTCCCTCATCCTGTCCCTATCCTCACAGTGCCCTTCATCCTGTCCCTATCCTCACAGTGTCCCTCATCCTGTCCCTATCCTCACAGTGTCCCTCATCCTGTCCCTATCCTCACAGTGTCCCTCATCCTGTCCCCATTCTCACATGATGTCCTTCTTCCTGTCCCCATCCTCACAGTGTCCCTCATCCTGTCCCTATCCTCACAGTGTCCCTCATCCTGTCCCCATTATCACATGATGTCCTTCATCCTGTCCCTATCCTCACAGTGCCCTTCATCCTGTCCCTATCCTCAGTGTCCCTCATCCTGTCCCTATCCTCAGTGTCCCTCATCCTGTCCCTATCCTCACAGTGTCCCTCATCCTGTCCCTATCCTCACAGTGTCCCTCATCCTGTCCCTATCCTCACAGTGTTCCTCCTCCTGTCCCCATTCTCACATGATGTCCTTCTTCCTGTCCCCATCCTTACAGTGTCCCTTATCCTCACCATGTTTCTCTCATCCCTCACATGGTGTCCTTCTTCCTGTCCCCTCTCCTCACAAGATGTCCCTAATTATGTCCCTATCCTCAGTGTCCCTCATCCTGTCCCTATCCTCACATGGTGTCCTTCTTCCTGTCCCTATCCTTGCACAGTATCCCTCATCCTGTCCCCATCCTCGCAGTGTCCCCCGTCCACACAGTGTCCCTCATCCTGTCCCCCATCCTCATAGAGTGCCCCTCATTCTATCCCCTATCCTCACAGGACGTCCCTTATCCTGTCCTCCATACTCACACGGTGTCGCTCATCCTGCCTCTGCCCTTCACATGGTGTCCCTCAGGATAGTGGCGATGCTGGCAGAGTGCCTGGTGTGCCTGTTCCTGCTCCTGGTCCTGTAGAAGCTTGACTGAATTTTGATTTTTTTTTTACTTATGCATTTTAACGCACTGTACCACTTTGCTCATGGTCTTTGAGGCAAATGTGTGAAACTCATCCCTGACTGAAAGGTCAGCTGCAGTTTCTTTCGTAATTTAAAGAATCTGTTGTAAATGTATGTATGCGGCTACATCTAAAATTGCCCTTTGAAGGAGCTGGTTTCGCACCCAGAGCTCCAGGGGCTACCAGGGGAACGTCATGATGTTCTGTCCATGTCAGGGCGGTGGCTTGTTTCTCTAGTCCTAAAAGCCATGTCTGTTACCACTTACGCTCGTGGGAGCACAGGCTGAATGGGCTGAATCGCAGGAAACTCTGCTTCTGAGAGGACCATCAGGGGGACAGATACGCAGGCTGGACTGCAGCCGCGGGGCCATCTGTGCGTGTGATGCGATGAGTACAGGGTCAGTGACTGACAGTGCCAACACTGGCCTGTGGGGGGCGGCAGTTTGGCTCAGTGTAACATACTGCTGTAGAAGGAGGTTGCTTTACCAGAATCTCGATCAGGCCTGTGTATCCTCCATGCCACCACATCAATGCATCGACATTTCAACCGTTTTTTAAGCCGAAAGGGATATGGTTTATAAACCTCCTCGGGGCCCCCAAATTCCCACCGTGAGCCGTTTCTGGACGTCACCCCCGATGCCAGTAAGACACCACGCAGGCCAGCCAGATCCCCGAGTTTCTATGTTACATTTATTTAGAGCAGCTGGCTGTAGATGCAGTCACACCGCAAGGACACAGGTTGCCGTGGCAGCAGGTATCGTACAGTTTGATGGTGGAAGGTCGCGAAAACATGCAGGCCAGACCCGCTGCGACTCCCCAGGACCGGCGCCGCCGCCTCATCCCTCTCCGCATGTGCAGGATAAAAAATAAACCTTTTTCTGCTTTTAAATGGAGTATTTTGCTCTAAAATGTATTTACTTAGCATCATTTGAGTTTTCCATCTAGGACATGAAGGATAATCATAAAAGCGACAACTAGGAAACTTCTCATTTTAGAAAAGGAGTCAAAGTTCTCACGCCGACACGGAGACACACAGTTACGTGCGGCGGCACTGCACCACGGCGTCTGAATGCATAGCTGCGGAGGAGAGGACCTCAGCCTTTTTGGTGGGCGGGTCGGCAAGGGGGGGGGGCAGCGCCGTGGTGCTTGTGAGCACGGCTGTCTCGCACGATGCCTGTTTTTTTTCCATTTTTTCGAAACACGGTTCTCAGTAACAGACGTCACGTTCGACGTGAGGGAAGCCTCACGTGAGCAGAACAAACAGAAATAAAGCAAGGCACATATGTACTCCGTCGATATATATAAAAAACCGAACGACATTGCAGAAAGTACAAAGTTTCCATGAGGACTCATGCAATGCGAGACATACAACGGCACAAAAGCTCCGGTAGAAAAAGAAAAGAAAAATACATACAAAATGACATTGACGTTTCAGGAACATGAATTGGAAATAAATTACAGTTCATTTCTCTGTGTTACAGCATTCGACTTGAACAACCTTTCCGGATAGTTATCATTAAATACTTTATTTATACTTATTTTTAATAAATTAAACATCACTTTTAATATGCCTTTTTTCAGCTATCTACAGAGTTATGTGTGATATGGGGGCAGCAGAAGACGATGTGGACACTGACCAGGTCTGTCCGGATGGCCGAGGTCCCTGGCTTCACATGGCTCCCTGTCAGTCTGTGCCTTAACTCTCACCTCAACACAACCCCCCCCCCCCCAAAAAGAGGCACCTCCTCATTGGTGATGATGTTAAGGATTGTCATGGCAACGTTGGAGACACGGTTATTGCAGAATCGCTGATCGTGGCGGCAGTTGGCGGACCGACGGTAGCGGAGACGCCCGGCAAGGCCTGCGTGTCGGTGAGCTGAGGCCCACAGCCTGCGCTGTCCGAGTCGGAGTGGCTGGGTTGGGCCGAGGCAAGGACAGGGGGGTGCTGGGCTTCTCAGGAGCAGGTCGAGCGCAAACGGCTTGCGTGAAACGCCAGGAGCGCATCGGGCTAATTCGTATCATACTTCAGATATAGAAAACTGACAATGTTAAACCATGAAGTGCTGTAACTATAAACAGTGCACACTCACACATTTACAGACATGCACACACACGCGCGCACACATACGTACGCCATCTCCATGACACACTGAGCTGATTGCCATGGGCCCAGACGTGCCCTTTATCAGCCCTGTAGGAACAGCTGCTGGATTGGGATCCAGTGCATCTTGTGCTAAGACCGTCATCTCCCAGAATCCCTCCTTGCCAGATGATGGTGGAATGGTGGAGAGGTGCTTGTGCTTGTCCGGGAGGCCACGCGATTGCAATCTGGGTATGGATAACGTCCTCCGCAAAATGACGCTTTTGCTGCAGGAAATGACTGCAGGCTTGACTTGACAGGTGAGGCCACCTGAGATAGAGCAGAGCCAGCGGAGTACAGGTCAGCTGACAGGGCCAGTCGGATGTTTGGAGGATGCCTGAGTGGGCCAGCTGTCTGATGACAGCGGTCAGGGCCAGGTGGCTGTCCAGAGAGCTAGCAGGGCGTCTCCTAGTATGTTCACGGGGAGGCTGGGAATTTCCCGGATGGTTAAAGGGGCCAGCTGGGAGTTTCCTGACTGGTTATGAGGGCCATCTGGGCGTTTGGGAGACTGTGCTTACATTTCAGCCCCTTTCCCCCATCCTTGATATACAGAAATGCACATGGGGCTGGAATCCAGGTAGACTCTGACACCCTGCACAGGTGTCATGGAAGCTGAACATGCAATTGCATGGAAGCCCACATCATTCAAAAAAGAAATATATATATATATATATATATATGACTACTGAAATCAAAATGGCCGATGTATCTTCAAAGTCCATAACATCACAGAAACTGCTCTTGCAGCCCAGTCTGGTTATATATAAAAATCCACATTTCTGCACACTTGTACCATTTAGGCAAAAAACAGTCAAATAAAAATAGTATTTGTATATATTTATATATCTATTACTGTACCAACTAATGCATGACTTTTTTTATCTTAAGATATAAACTCCTCTCTTCATGCTTACAATGCACACATAGCATTATTTTTTTAATCTTTTTTGTACTGTAGCATTATTTGTTTATACATTTGCCAGAATATTCCAACAGAGACAGAAAGACGAAGAAAAAGTTAAGATTTGTTCTGGAAATTTCCCTCTCTGCTTCCCCTCCACTGTGCTGCCTTCGAGGCCTCAGACCCTATCCTGAGGTAATTCCTTTGGGGTGGGGGTGGAGGCGGGGGGGCGAGCGGGTTATATAAATGGATTGACTGGATTGTTTGTGCAAATTGACAGGAAGAAAGAGGCCAGATTTGTTAACTCCTGGGAAAGCAGTGAGATAAATTGGGGAAGGGGGGGTTGGATAGGGTGAGGCAGGCGACAGGAGAAGAAGAGAAAATGGGGAGAGTTTGGAGATGGACTGGAAGGTGAAAGGTGAAGGGGGCTTTTGGAGGGCAGATGGGGGGGGGGGGGGGGGGGGGGGGGGGGGGGGGGGGGGTTCTCCTGTGCCTCACGGGAGCCCTGAGGGTGGTGCCGGGGTTGCCCCCGGTGACGGCCTTCACTCCAGCATGGCGTCCAGCTGGTCGGCCAGCTCATCGAACATGCTGCCGATGTCGTCCAGGATGCTCACCGTGCTCTTTTCCTCAGCCACCGTGCTGCCGGGAAACAGGGTAGCCGGGTTACCGTCAGTTTACTGTTGATTTACCGCTGCGTGTCCTCACAGCTGAGAGCTGGCGGAGCTCATTCTCACTGTGGCCAGAGTCACATGGGTGGGAGGTTCTTCATTTGAGGCAAACAATGGGTATTAGTAGTACTGTTAGTACGGGCGTTAGCATCAGTGTTAGTATAGGCATTAGCATTAATGTTAGTACTGGCATTGGCATCAGTGTTAGTACTGGCATTAGCATCAGTGTTAGTACAGGTATTAGCACCAATATTAGTACTGGCATTAGCATCAGTGTTAGTACAGGTATTAGCATTAATGTTAGTACGGGCATTAGCATCAGTGTTAGTACAGGTATTAGCATT